TTTGAGATTGGTTGTTTCTGCTCTTACTACAAGTGGTTGTATACTATGGGGGAGGAAATTCCTGCCTGACTGGATGACGTGGTTTCTCAATCGTGATGAGGGCTTGGACGTTGGAGAAATTTGTGTGTATGTCAGGATTTCAAGTTCCCCGTACTGCAAAGTAGTTTATATCGGAAAAAACAAGAAATATATCAATGTCTGATGGAGTGATCATGGTGGGAAATGTTGCCGGGAGGGTCCGAGAAATCACTTTCATCAATGACTACGAAGCTATGAATGGGATAAGTATGTTTTACTCCCAATTTTGAGCGTGACAGCAAAACAAATATCGGTAATTGAGGCCTATTATATTAATATTCGAGTTTAGTTCTAAATAGCACCGGATGTCGATCTACCAATGCTCGACGCTGCGACGACGCATTAGGGAGGGAAGGAGAGAAAGGAGAAAGAAACAAGTACGTAAGCATAATAACTCGAGTCATATGTCATAGGAAGGCGTTGGTATTATCAAGTTCAGTGTGATCGAAGGACGAGCTAGTTTTCGTTTGAATAACTTGTTGCTGAAGTAGGATTGTCAATATGTTAGAATTTTTTGCTGACATCTTGTGGAGGGAATGCTTGGTAAAGATGGGTAGAAACGGTTAGAAAGAGGTTTCGTTCAATGTGTGGTTATTTGCTCGGGCAAAACTAAGTTTCTGCTGGATTATAAATATTTTTTGAAGCAAGGAGGTATTGTTTAGATCATTAAGTTGCGTAAATGTAGAAGTGTCAATACTAAGGGCAGACGATATCTGATCTCCCTCCTTACGAACAAGAGTAAGCAAATCCTGAAATCTAAATGTAATTTTATTTTTTTTCTCAAACTTTTCCCCGTGGTTAAGGATTTCAGTATGAAGCTAACTAGATCTCTGCTCAGACGCATCGTTAACAATGTTGCTAAGAATGGATATATCTTCGACTTATAGAAAAAATCCATTGCCAACATTTAGTTCAATGATCGAAACAATTTATGAGGGGTACGTAGACTTCTTGAAAGTAAGATAAACAACTTGCTGATTCCTGTAGCAGTCCGTGAGACCCCGAAGCGGAAAGTGGGAAAGGTCTAGACTAAAAAATCGTGAGTTATTGACATACTTCATAACCACAGACTTTATGTACGGTGGGAGGTTTCCACTTGCACTTGTGCAGGGGTTCCGCTTCCAAGGTACAAAGGACATGTGCGTTGCAGAATCTGGGATGATGTCCGACTTTTGTCGTTTCTGCACAATGCACGTAATATTTGGAGAGCACTGAATGTCAGCAAGATAAACCAATTACATCTCAGGTTATTAAAAGTCTGTTTCGTTTGGTCATTGGGTGGAGGTTTCCAGTTAGATTTTAGTGCAAAGGAAATCGCAGCCTGTATGAACTGCACTTTAAGCCATTCTGGTGAGTTGTCTGCAGATTAAAACTATGAGGTGAGGATATTGTACAAGAATCTAGTATTGGCACCGACAGATCGAAACTCTGGGAAACTATCGTCCGCAGATTTGATTCTATATTCCTAAGAGTTTGCTAATACTGCTCTGAGTTTTGCTCAAGTTTGTTTCTCTCAGTTGAAGTTGGGTAATGGCCCCTGTACTTCTCAACTTTTCCTTCAAATATCTCTTAAGATCTTTAGAAAGGACGTTGGGCTCGGTTCCCATCCGTGCTGCTTCCCCACGAACATATTGAAGCTTTGTCCCTTAAAAAAAAAAAAAAAAAGGTGTGGCGAGCCTCTAAGTGATCATGAACTTGTCGCAAGTCCGCTTGTTGCCCTGGATACAGAGGACCGAAATGGATCCTTGGGACAAGTTGGCATGTCATGCTTGCAACAGGCTCTGGATCACGGTTGCAAAGTGGGTATTTTACCTCGAAATCTGAACATGGGGAACATCTCCGAAAAAGATGAACATGGGGAACGTCTCACGAGAAGATGCAGACGAGGAAACACTAGAAATGAATGCAGACGAACAAGCGGACCACCATGCAATCCCATGGATGAATAAACACTTGGGGGTGATTTCATTTCCCCCTAAGGATGAAAACCCAATCCCGCTCAATCTTTTTTTATTAGGGAAACAATGCGGGGGTCACAAAAATGAGTAATAATTGCACTACAAGGCCATGGGCCAAGATACAGTTTCCGAATGCAGTTCGGGCAATGTATACAACCTAACTTTCAGGCAAGATAAGGTGCTTCGAGCCGAAGTGCAATTGCAAACTGTATCTTGCCCCAATGCCCCATAGTGCAATAATAATTTTTTTCTGTTACTCTATTTTTTTTTTACCAACCACATAAACGCAACCCTTTTTTTTTCCTTTAAAAAAAAAAAAAAAATTTGCGAGTCGTCCATCTCCACGGTGTTGAGTGAACCCCCGAAATCGAGGCCTTGACTGTCAGTCTGCTCTATTATTTGGTGGGGAGCAACCCTTTTTGGAGACCGGATCCACCGTCTCTTGGATACGGCAATTAAACACTTTGTATTCCTTTCCTCTGGTTTTTGAGGCTGTAACCTATACTTTTCCTATGTTGGAGCTCAGTTTTCCCCTGGGGCTGCATGCGTTACCCATCCCAGTCCGAAGCTCTCTACTTTCCACTTTAGACTGAGATGGAGGAGGGTAGGGTGACATCATGACAAACGCCACCCCCCAAGGCTTTGATCTGAGCAGCTTTATTGTACAGTACCAGAATCCTACAGACTGGCAGATCGAAAAACGAGGTCCCTAGCAAGTGTGGCCATTGCAAAGCGGGGAGTGGTCCTGTTGGTGGACCTTCAGGGATCGACAGGAGACTTTCAGGTTAATGTTGTCAAGCAAGCCAGCCTCCGTCGGATGCTGTCATTAATGGTTACCCCATTGGCAGTGTGAGTGATCGGAAGAGACATGGACATAGCACAGGGTTGCTCGCGCCTATGTTCCCCCCAGGCCGGGCCGGCCGCGAATTTTTGGTCGAGGCCGCGACCGATCGAGGAGGCGGTTTTGGGAGCGGGGAGCGGGTTTACGGTGGGGGGGCACCCCCTCGAAGTGGCAGACCGTCAAAAAAATAAAAAACGGGGGGGTCCTACACATGGGCCTGAAAGGGCGGACCGGGAAAATTCGTTCGTCCCCCGAGTGGTGTTTCGTCGATGCAGGTGCGCAGGGAAGAGGGTCAGGAACACATGGGAAAAAAAAATATATATATTTGACCCCTGCGGGGGCGGGTTAACGGGGGTTGGATGGGGGTTGGATGTGGGTTGGGTTGGGGCGGGCAGGGCGGGCGAGTCAGGTGGGGGTTGGGCGGGGGTGGGGATGGCAGACCCCAGGCAGCTCAGGGCCTCAGGCAGGCGTCAATTTCATTTGTGAGGGTGTCGAAAGTTCGTGAATTTTTTTGAAACAGCACATTCATAGGAATCATAGGTCAAACCCTATTTCGCATACCAAGGTCACAAAACATTCACAATGAATCACAATGCGGGCAACCATAAGTCGTAAACAATGTTAACAGGCAATTGTGTCACAGTGTGTGTTCATTCATGAGGCTGGTGAAAGTTCGCGAAACAACACATTCATTAGCATATCATCCCTGTTTGGCATACGGAATTCACAACACATTCATAATGGGGGCAACCATGACATGCATGTGCGTGGCATCCGACAAAGACACGATTTGCAACATTGCGACAACAATACCCGCTGTGTCGGGGACATTTACGACAACAAACCAGAAACCGCTCGACTCATATGCAAAACCAAGGCTGGAAGAGGAACATGAAGAAGAACAAATCAGTGACAAAGCATTTCAATGGAAATGCGTATGTACAAGGCCAAAGCCAAAAACCGCACCCCTCAACACCATCGTCTCTACCGTAATACCGAGCAGCTAAAAAAAAAAAAAAAAAAACCTAACGCCCACATAATGTCGTCATCTCCATGGAACAACATCAATATAAATATGGAACTACCCTGCAAAAAAAATGTCCAGCCAAAAAAAAAAAAAGTAATGAAATAAAAAAAACACCACTGACGCCGTCATCTGCTCCCAGAAGAGCGGCCCGTGCCCCTCCCTGTCGGAGGACGCGTGCAGCCTCTCCCGGAGGACGATCGACCATGCTGTCCTCCCGGGCGCCCTCCTCTCCTTCTGGCACCTGTGCCCTCCACACCACTGATGTATGCCGCCTGTCCTGCAGCGTCTGTCGCGGCCACGGCCGCTCTGCGTCTGCGGACCACACTCTAGAGCGGCTCGGACTCTGTGTCTGCGTCCTCGTCCTCGACCGCCTATGCAGGAACCGTATCTCGCTGCCTCTGAATCGCGTCCAACGCTGCCTGGTCGGCGGTGACCTCTGCTGCGAGTCGAGCCTCCACTTTTGTAATGCCGCGGTGTCGTTTCGTCCCGGGACGCATCAACAACCCCTCCTCGCCCGATGTGTGCAGTTGTCCCTAATGCATGTCCGTCGATGTCCCTGCGGCCTGGAGGACCAATGATCTCCTCGTCGCCGCTCGTGACAAACCGAGCATGCGGCCTGCCATGTGAAGGCTCGAATGTCCGGACCCACCCTCCGCAGCCTGCGTCTGATCTGGCAAACGTCCCGCGAAGACGCCCCTTCCGACATCATAGTCCGCCCTCAAGTGGTCCCCGACCCGTCGATGAGCTAACCATCCGCCGCCAACACCGCCTCGGACCGGCGGCGGGGAAGCGCCGCTGTGCGCAACTCCGGATATCGGCGTCTTGTCGTCGGCGTCGACCCCCGGCTCTGCGGCCCGTGCGGGTGGTGGAGGCATCAATCCTGCACATCCGCCGCCATCACTACGTCGGCCCGACCCGACCTCAACCGCCCCGGACTCCCTCCCTCTCACGTCGCTGAGCGACGAACCCGGCCATCGAGGGCTCTGCACTACGTACGGCGGCGGTGAATATGCCCCCTAAGTGGGCCGTCTCTCGCCACTCCTGCGACCCATATGTGGGAAAGGGTCCTCTGTCAGCGCCTGCGCCAAAGCGTCGGCGTTAAATAAAGCGTGCGCTCTATCGTCAGGGCGGAGGGGGGGGACTGTGGGGTCCCTCAAGACCAAGGCGAGCCAATACGCATCGTCCTCGCGACCGTAGTCGTCGTCATCATCTCCGTCGGGTCCATCGTCTCCCCCACCACCCGCGTCGGCACCCTGTCCCTCGTCAGCTGCGGTATCCCCATCTCCACCGGGTCCACCCTCTCCCCCGCCACACACGGCGGCACCCTATCCCTCATCACCCGCGGTCTCGCCGTCGCCACCGCCTCCACCAGGGGGAGATCGTCCGCCCGCGGCGACATCCCGTCCCTCGTCACCCGATGTGTCGCTCTTGCCATCGCCACCCACGTCCATATCGTCACTGATTCCACCCTCTCGCAAGTCTGCCTCCATCGTCGGCGTCAAAGCCGCCCCACCCTCCTGTCTCCAAGTCCCTATGTCGGCTCTGCTCCTCTAGGTACGCGAACCGACCCTCCCATCCTGCCAAAGTCAGCAGCCGCTCCTCCTCTCGGTCCAGGCGGGCATCCCGCTCCTCCTCGGTCTCAACACGGCCCCGCAAATCGAAGTTGTCGGTACGCACCTCCGACGGTGAGGCATGTCAACGTCCCGGGGCGCTGAAATCCCCCAAGCCCCCACCTGTGTGTCCGACGTCAAAGTCGTTTCTACAGAGCTCCGACGGCGAGCGGGGGCGGATACCAGAGCCCGAAGGAGTCCTCTCCCCCTCACGCTCCTCGTTCTCATACGTCCGCTCTCTCCCTGCTGTCGACGCCATCCTCTCTGAAGGCCTAAGTGCCTCGGGCGGTGTAGTGGTCCGATGATGGGAGGGAGAGTAGCGACGATCCTGACGGGGCACCTCCTCCTCCTCGGCCTCCCTCTCGTGCTCGCTGTCGCTCCTAACCTCCCAACGCCTGCCCGTCATCCGAAGGCCTCCTCGTGGCTCCAGCTCCAACACGTCGGCCGCACTCGGACGTCGTCCACGACGACCACCACCTCTGCCGGTGCCACTGGCCTGTCCGATCGACGACACATCATCAGTGATGACCGATGTGTGTGAATCCATGCCGTCAGGTCCTCCACCGTAAGTGAAGTACACCCGCTCTGTCGTCGTGTCGCCACTAACGGGCGCGTCATCATCATCGGTCCACTCGTCGCAAGGGTCGCCGCCATCTGCATCACTATCTGGACCGTCGCCGACCGCCTCTGGCCACGGTCGCAGCTCCGTCGCCCTCTGGCCGAACACGTCCTGAACTGCACGGGCTCTGGATAGTCGGCTATCATGGAAAGCGACGACCTGCTGCTGGATCGCCTGCTCGCGAACAATGCCTGCAGGTCGTGCTCCCCACACCTCGGGCTCCACGTCTTCTCCCGACCGGTCCCCTGAACCCGTGGCAACACGTAGCCACCACCTTGCTGTGTGAACGCGGCCAGTTTGAGATTGGTGGCAATCTCAACCTGCTGTGCAAGCTTGGCAAACCCAAGCTTGCAGCGCCTCGCCGTGTTGATGCGCTCGTGCTGCGCCCAGTTCCTCTCTGCTGGAGAGGCAGACGTCCACAAGTGCATGACACGGATGACGATGGTGCGCAACTCTGGGTGGTGACATCCATGGGCAAACCACCACGCCGCACAACGCTCGGTCTCGTGGTATCTCCTACAATCGTTCGCCTCGGCATCGGACAACTGTCGATCTCCTCGCCTCGAATGGAAATGCCTCATCTGGTCGCGAACGGTCCTATACAGTCTGTTGACCAGATCTACGCCAGTCTGTGCGAGGAGAAATTTGTCGCAGTCCTCGACCACACGGGCGTCGTCACTGGTCGTCTGCAATGACTCGTAATATCGAAGGGACTGTCGACGAGGGTTGAGGAGGTGTGCCGCGGCATTTGCGGGCTCGAGCATGTGGAGGTTGCAGATAGCAACCTCACGCACACACGGCTCGATCATGTCCGTCGGCACTTCGACCCTCCTCATCAGCTACAGCACATGCTGACTCCAGTCGTGAACGATGGACATCATCATCCGCCCCCTATCCATCCTCCGCAGCAGCTGGTGGACGGGCTCCATGACACGGATGGCGTAGTCGACACATCGCCAAAACTTCCTGTCGCAGATCTGTTGCTGCACCCACTGCGCCTGGGCGACAAGCCTGCGCTCCAACGGGATGCGTGCCCAAGCATCCCCGTGCTGCATGCTCTCCAGTGCGTCTCGTCGGCCTTTGAGACACGTCAGCATCAGAAAAATCGATGCGAACCGTGTCTCGACGGGCTCGACGAGCTGAACGCGAGAGCTCACCTTCCTAAACAGGGCGTGAGCAGCGCCGTGCCATCAAATAAATCGCACTAATGCTCGTGCACGGATGATAGTGTCCTTGACCCACCCCACTCGCGTTCTGATATCTGACAATATCAAGTTGCAGACATGGGAGGAGCAGTGAAGCCAAGTGATCCTCCTGATGGAAGGGTCCTCGTCTGTGGCGAATCTGCGCGCCGCCGCCATATAGTAACTGGCGGATTCTATGCAGAAGCCGATCACGTCCTTTGCAGGAAAGGACAAGATGATGGCCCGCCACCTGCGGTACACGATATCCGCAGTGTCACGGACAGACCCGTCACGTGCGACGGTGGCGTACAGCAGGGCACCGTTGGCACCCCCGGCAAGGAAGTTCACGAGCGGCTTGCCGCTGCGCGACTTCCTCCCGTCCGAGAGGATGGTGGCACCGGTGTGCCGGAAAGCTGAGCGCACCTCGCTCACCATCGACGCCACCTTCCCCCTCTGTGAAGGGATCCCGGTGGCCGTTCTGACCCTGTACATGGAAACCGGAACTGAACTGTTCGCGACACTCCTTCTGTTGCCCGCCGAACCCTCTGGATCTCCGGACCTCGGAAGGCGTTGAATGCCAACCCCTTCGCGTAGATCCACTACAGCCACGCGTCATGGAACTCGGCCAACTTCTCCTTGTCCTACATCTCGTCGATCGTCGTCTGTCGAGCCTTCTTCTCCCTGGCCGTCTCTCGCTCCTCGACGTCGCCCTCCCCCACCTTCCTCTTCTCCCTCCTTGCGCGGTCCAACTCAAGTCGTGGTGCCCTAGGAGCGGGACCCGCTCAACCGACGCCTCTCGACGTCATCACCACCTCCTCCCTGGCAGGTCAGGGTCTGTGACTGCCTCATCAGCCGTCCCCCCCTCCCAAACCCCACCCTCGAGACCCTCCTCCTCATCGAGGGCGTCCTGAATCTCGTCCCTCTCTCCCTCGTCCATCCGCTGTTGCTGCCGACCCGCAACCTCTCTCGTGTCCCATACCCCCTCGTCAGCCATCCACCTCTGCACCCGCCGAGCAGTCGCGGGCTTGAATGTGTAGTCCATGTGGTTCCATATTTCCGCGAGAACTCTCATCCCCGCAGCCTTGCAGTACTTGGCCTGCGTGAAATGGCGCGCGACCTTACATGCATTCCCCTGAAACAAGTGGCCGCAAAAGTTGCAACGCAACATTCGGTCCCCATGCATCTTCGCCAGGTTCCCCACATGCTGTCCCACGGTGACAAAGTTCCACACCAAGTTCCCACGCCTCAACTTCGCCATCTCCCTCTCAGACTGCGTGATGAACCCCCCACCCGCAGACCCCCCCGTACCGCTGGTCCCTGCACCCCCCATCATTGTTCCCTGACTCAAAGCGTCGCAGTTGTCGTGTCGTCCGTCGATGTCGTCGTTCCCGGTGCTCCGTCGATGAATGGCCTCGACGCCGCTGCAGCCTCCGCGGGCCCCGATGTCGCAGCCCTCCTCGACCTGGCCGTTCTCGGCCCCTTCAGGCCATTCGAGTACCCGACCACGATCGGCCGAGTTCGGCCCCGATCGGCCGAGGTCGGCCGCAATCAGCCTCAATCGGTCGTGCTCAGCCGCGATCGGCCGCGACCTGGCACTAAATTTGCCGCGCGTGGAAAAAGGCCGCGCGGCGATGGTGCCCGCCGACGACCTCGCGCTGGGCGATGGCAGCTTAGCAGCGGTGACCACCTGCGATGGTGCGCCGCGGACCCGCGCAAAGAAGAAGAAGAAGAAGAAGAAGAAGAAGAAGAATAAGACGAAGAAGAAGAGGGAGAAGATCTCTCTCTCTCGCGCGCGCGTGCGCGCAAGCGAACTCTCTCTCTCTCTCTCTCTCTCTCTCTCTCTCTCTCTCTCTCTCTCTCTCTCTCTCT